CCCCCTTCTCCGGTCTTTTCCAGATGCTGGCTACGAGTTCGACATTTGCTTCACCTCGGTACAGAAACGAGCCATCCGTACCCTCTGGACCGTCCTGGATGCTATCGATCAGATGTGGTTACCCGTTATCCGAACCTGGCGCCTGAACGAGAGGCACTACGGGGCCCTCACCGGTTTGAACAAGGCTGAGACGGCGGCGAAGCACGGCGAGGCGCAGGTGAAGATCTGGAGGCGTTCGTATGACATTCCTCCGCCTCCCATGCAGTCTGATCACCCCTTCTACAGCACTATCAGCAAGGTAAGAGCTATTACTCTTCATCTACCTCGTTTTGAGGCTCCTAAAAGCCACCTCAGGTCTCTGCACCATGGTCTGGCTTCCTCCATAAGGTCTCCTCCATGTCCATTGCAGCAGCCAGGACTGTTGTGCGTGGTGTTGGGTAGCATCAGGCTGTGTTTGTCCCTCTCCCTCCCTGGGGAGTTGAACCCCTGGGCACTGCACACATAGATTCAGAGCCGGGGGTAGACAACACCTCCGTTAATCATTAGACCTGTGACCTGTGCGTGGATGTTTGCTCTGTTTCTTCACCCAGAGCAAGTGATGTGAGGCTTTCCCCAGGAGGGGCTCAGAGCCCTGACTGTAGCTGAGTACAGCCTTGAACCTCAAAGATAGTTCCTTGCTTCCAAGCCCAGCTTTGCCTACACGTAGCAGGTCCCCAGGCAGAGAATTTGGGCTGGGTGGGACAAAGGCCCTGCCGCTGCCTTCCCACACTTGTGCTGGGCTGGTGCGTGAGCGTGGCTGTTCCTCCAGGACCGTCGTTACGCTGACCTGACAGAGGACCAGCTGCCGACATGCGAGAGCTTGAAGGACACCATTGCTCGGGCTCTGCCTTTCTGGAATGAGGAAATTGTCCCCCAGATCAAGGAGGGCAAGCGAGTCCTTATTGCTGCCCACGGCAATAGCCTGCGTGGGATCGTCAAGCACCTGGAAGGTACGTCAGTCCTGCGGGGGTATCACGGGGGTCTCCCTGCTGCCCGGGGGTGAGCAGGGCCGTGAGTGACAGCCCCTCTATGTTTGCAGGCATGTCGGAAGAGGCCATCATGGAGCTCAATCTGCCCACCGGCATCCCCATCGTCTACGAGCTGGACAAGAACCTGAAACCCATCAAGCCCATGCAGTTCCTGGGGGATGAGGAGACGGTGCGCAAGGCCATGGAGGCCGTCGCTGCTCAGGGCAAGGTCAAGAAGTGAGGGCGGGCAGCAGCTAGTAGGTAGA